CCCCATGCACCCTTGATAATTTATAAATTATTATTATATCTTATATCACACTGCCCGGCATCCCCCTTCACCTACCCCAGGATGCTTTCTTAATGTACACTTACCCTTTATATAAAACTCTCTCTTATACACATGAGGGTCTATGAATTTTGTTTCTCTAGTCTACCCAGACTAACACAGATAACTACCCCTTTCTAGTTCCTCCTTTGAAGACAGAGGGAGAGGAAATAGGGTTTTATGTTCCTAGTAAGGAACTTACTGACAGCAAATAATATCAAACCTGAAAGGGGAGCAGTTAGTGGAGTCTGTGAAACAGTCATTTAGAAGTCTTAGCAAGAGTGTGGAGTGTGAGTTTTTCTCACTGCTTCAGAATAGCCACTTTCCCATTCTCTCACATTTCTGCACACATGCACATGCACACACACCATCACCATCAATTCTGAGGCTCCCTTTTGGTGGCTGGTTGTTCAGATAGTTAAAGCACATGGCTGCTAACCACAAAGCTGAAGGTGTAAGTGGACCCAGAAAGTCTTGGAATGAAGGCCTGATCTCTGCTGACCAATCAGCCGTTGACAACCCAGCGGAGCACAGTCCTATTTTGATATAAATGGGGCTGCCATGAGGTGGAATCTACTTAGTGGTAACTGGTTTTCTGGCAATAAATAAGAAATGCTCGACACTGGTGGCTCAGACAGATCCCAGGAGAGGATGTGGAGAATGGCACCCCCATCCTAGACTCAGGCACTCAGCATCCCTACGCACACTTGAAAACTTGTTGCCCCTTCACTGGGTCTCCTCAGACTGTAGCTGATCAAAATAACCTTCGTCCCTAGGAAAGTTTCTCTGAACCCCCCAGAGCAGGCTCACACCATCTACAGACACAGCCTCACCTCATGAGTCCTCTGGCTTGTCACCTTCACCATGACCTCCTTCTGTAAGTCATAGCCCCTGGAATCTGATGATGCCAAATTCTTCACTTTCAATTCCATCTTAAGCCCCTGGCAAAGGAAACAATTGTTGCTTTAAAATCCTCTATTTAAAAAAAAACAAAAACAAAAACAAAAACAAAAAACAAACAAAAAAATCCTCTATTTTTTTCCCCAGGATAATCCTATATAAGTATATCTTTTTCACCACACCTAGCAATGAGACAGAATTTCTAAAAGAAGATAGTCCCACACTTGCTCCTTGGAATCCTCACCAATATTAATGATTGAACTCCAACATTTCTCAACAGTAGATTAGAACTAACACTTACAGTATTTACCAAAGAGAAGATATTTCTGAGAAGTTTACAGCTGGTTCGTAGTCTCCCTCTGGAAGCTAGCCCCAGCCCAGAACTTGATATAGCAGCCATCAGACTGCCTGGACTCAGAAAGGCCCTTTTGAAGAACCATCTAGAATGGGTTGGTCATGGCAAGCACGTATTAAGCTGAGGCCCTGGTGCCCCTGGCGAATCAAGGATGAAAAATGGTGCTCATAGTTTGAACTGAGAAGTTGTAAGGTCTGTTGCTAGCTCTTATCATGACCTTAAGCCAATTCCTCTCCTCGTTGGGCCTCTGCCTTTATTTATAACATGAGTCAGTCTGGGTCAACAGGAGTGACACGGGTGTTGGACCTGTTCTCTAAAATCTGCTGTGGACCTGGCATTTGTCAGTTTTCTGGTCCATGATAAATAATTTCTATGGAGGTTCACTGCAGGACGGCTCACTGTTCACAATAACTGAAAGGTAGAAACAACCTAAATGTCAATCAACAGATGAATGAATAAACAGAAAAATGCTATATACACACAATCGGATAATACTGTCAGATGCTACAAATTGATAAAACTTGAAAATATTATGCTGAGTGAAAGTACTGTTTATGTTAGGTGCTGTTGAGTTGGTTCCAACTCATAGTCACCCTCTGTATAACAGAACAAACACTGCCTAGTCCCGCAACATCCTCACAATTACTATGTTTGACCACAATGACACACATAAAGATTGATATATTAGGCATTAGTGAGCTGAAATGGACTGGCATTGGCCATTTTGAATAAATAAATCTATGACTTACTAGGTCAGGAGTAGCACAATCAAAAGGAATGGCATGGCATTTGTTGTCAAAAAGGACAGGACATTGCAAAATCTATCATGATGTACAATGCTGTGATAGGATTCTATCTATTTGCCTTCAAGGAAATCCAATCAATACAAATATTATTCAAATTTATGTACCAGCCACAAAATGTAATGATGAAGACATTGGAGAATTATACCAATGTGCCCGTGGGTAGTTGACCGAGCAAGCAATCAAGATGCCTGGATGGTTACTGGTGATTCTAATGCAAAAGTTCAAAACAAACAGAAAGGAACAGTAGTTGGAAAATATGGTCTTCATGATAGAAATAAAACTGGAGATTACATGATAAGATTCTGCAAAACCAATGACTTGTTCCTAACAAATACTTTTTTTAGCAACATAAAAAGCAACTATACATGTGGACTTCCCCCAATGGAATACAGAGAATTCAAATTGACTACACCTGTGGGAAGACAGGATGGAGAAACTCAATGTCAGCAGTTAAACCTGACCAGAGGCTGAACTGGACAAACCATCTATTGTTTATATGTAAGTTCAGGATAAAGCCAAAGATAACTAAAACAAGTCCACAAGAGATAAAATATGACCTGATTCTTTCCCACTTGAATTTGGAGAACATCTCAAGAACAGATTTAACGAATTGAACAGTAATGACAGAAGACTTGATGAGCTGTAGGAGGATGTCAAGACCATCATTCAGGAATTCAGCAAAAGGTCATTAAAAAGACAGCAAAGAAAAAGATCATAGTGGATGTCAAAAGAGACTCTGAAACTTGTTCTTAAACAGTGTAGCTAAGGCAAATGGAAGAAATGATGAATTCAAAGAGACAAATTAAAAATTTTCAAAGGGGAGCTCAAGAAGTCAAACTTAAGAATTATGACTCAATATAAAGAAGACCAATATCCTCACAACAGGAAACATCATGATAAATGGAGGAAAGATTGAAGTTGTCAAGGATTTTGACTTGCTTGGACCCACAATCAATGCTCATGGAAGCAGCAGTTAAGAGCTCAAAAGATACGTTGCATTAGGTAAATCTGCTGCACAAGACCTCTTTAGAGCATCAAGAAGCAAGGGTGTCACTTTGAGGACTAAGGTGGTCTTGACTATGCCAGGGTATTTTCCATAGCCTAATACGCATGTGAAAGAGTGAAGAAAGAATAAGAAAGAGCGGAGAAGAATGGATACATTTTAATTATGCTGCTGGAGAAGAATATTGAAAGTACCACGGACCTGGGGAGGCTACGAGGTAGTGTCCATGTAGAATCACCCTTCCAGTGCTCCTGCTAATAGAAAATTAAGAGGTAGGGAGGCCAATAGTGGGAGTCAGGGTGCCAGAAACAGAGTTCAAGTGTATTAGGGTCTGTGTCTCAGACCTCCCCCTGCAATTTTTGCCAAGGAGCCACTCAAGGGCTCACTGAAATGCTGTAAGTTCACCACATCTGCCTGTGGGCTCTGCTAATCCCTCGCCAGATCCAGCAGGTCCACCATTCCTTCTTGTGCCCAAGATACAAGAACCACAGCGTGCAGTATTTTCCACAGACTGTGCTTTGTAAAGGTGGTCATAATCTCAGGCTCAGGGAGAACCTTCCAGAACTAGTCACAAGGACTCACACCAGAGGTATCCTCTCTGCAACCCTTCCTGCTCCTGCATTCTCAGGCTTGGCATCTCTTCTCCCCAGGCAGAAACAGAGCGACTGCCAGTGTGGGTAACAACAGATAATTAGACACTAATTTGCTGCAATTGGAGAGCCCTCAGATATTCACCTGTGATAGAGTGTATATCCCTGGAGTACAGCCTGTAGAGTTGTGCAGGAGGGAGCTGGGGGTGACACAGCAGGGCAGCTGGGGCAATTCAGACCCAGTGGGCCCAAAACCTACTCAACTAATCTGATCCTTCTTCCCTGTGGGACAGCACAGACAGACCCAAAACTAGGCCACCCTACAAGCCCATTATAAAAACAAACAAACAAACAAACACACTTTTAAAATGCTTTCAATTTGAGGCTGTGTTCCTTTGTGTAACTTTGAATGCAAGCCACCAGAAACCTGGTCCATGAACATAGATTTAACATAACAAAAGAGGCAGATAGCAGAATGCTGCAATTCAAGCCAAAAAATTGTTCTACCTGTTTGGGGCATGACAAA